ACAGAGTGACCCAGAAACGCCAGCTCTCTGACATCCAAAGTGTGAGAACATCTTTGAACCAAACGATTAGCACCAGGCCCTGCATCACGTGAATAGATGCAGCTAGGTGCTCTTTCAAACAGAAAAGCTTTCACGAGCATCCACGCATCCCATTTCGGATCATCTTTCCCAAGAAATAGACTGGATTTGGATGTTCTCCAAAAGCAAGACCTTCCAACTTCGCACGTTCCAACCATCAAAAGACATCAAAACATCCGCCTTTCACCCATCATCCTGGCCAGGCCCACCATGACCAGCTCCAGCGGAGCACACGCGCCCCCCCCAGACCGCGGCGCCTGGCGTCTTGCGGATGGGATCTGGGATCCGCGGCTTCACCCCAAAATGGCCAAGCAGAGGCAGCAAAGGGCAGGAGGGTGTGCGGTTTCTTCTCAAGGAACCACATACACTTGGCACTTGGAAGTAGCTGTTCAGCAACTTGAGGTCGAAGTATTGACCACTGCTGTTAAGTATCTGAGTCGAGTATCTGGAGCGCATGTTCTGGATTCTTGGTGAAGGCTTACTATAACAAGAGGTATCCGGGCCTTTAGGGGAACTCCAACCATAACTCTCAAAACGGCTCCCTGTTTCATAGGGGAAGAACTACGGTACCCGGGTCGTCGCTACCCTCCAAGCCGTCATCCTCCCTGCCGCCGAGGCGATGTCTTTCTCTCCATCCACCGTCGCAGTCCCACCAGACTCGACCGGGCATGGCTACAGTCTGCTGGAAAGACCTGCTCCGGCGTCTGACCAGCCGATCTGTACAACTGTACACCAAGCTGAACCCTAGACTTCCAAGACCATTAAAACAATGGTTCACCTGGTTTTTGTAGTGTAAAACCCTTAGTTGATTCAGCAAAGCCTATTAAATTAATGGTGGTTGGAAGCCTAGGCTGAACATTCAAATTGAACGAAACGCAAGGAAACCCCGTCCCCCATGTGCACCCCACTCCGGGAGTGACGATGCAAACAAGTTTCATGCCATCTCACTCGCACCCGATGCATACCGACGCATCCTCTGCGAAACCCAGAACCCCACCCCAAAAAATACATCTCCGGCGCATCCCCCACTTCGCGGTCTCTGTGTCATGCTCCATGTCGCTCGGCCGTTTCCGCCGTTTCGGCCTCCGGTGCTGTGGGCCGCGACGTCAGCTCCTGCACTTCCTCCAGTGCCACATCCAGGACGGTCAGCAGCACTCGTTGCTCCCCCTGCACGGCCGGCGCTAGGAGTCCGTAGACCTTCGCGCCGTAAGTCTGGAGCATCTTCATAGCCACTTGGGGCTCGAAGACATGGATCAAGGACTGAGGATCCGAATTATACGCCATCTGCACTACATCCATGTCATCACGCCACGGATTAGCCACATGTTTCAGGGCATCCGGGTGTTCCTTCACCAGCTGGCAGATGACGGACTTCTTCTTCACAAACTGGATGGCACGTGCATCCCTCGCGACCGCTTCCAAAGCTAGCTGTACATCGTTCTGGAGGCGGTCCGTGGCGAATTCCAGAGCCATACCATTTTGCATCACGGCCAAGAGCACCAGGTGAGTATCGTCGCATCCGGGCCCAGCGTCACGCGATGGCATCCATTCCAGAAGCAAACCGTCCTGCTGCAGCGCCGCCACGCAGAGCTCGCGGTCCAGCTGCTTGCCGTCCTGCTGAAGTGCTGCTTCGTACATCTCGCGGTCAAGCTTGCACGTGGCATAGCGTAGAAGTGAAGCGTCTCTCTGTACACATTGCTTCATAAACCTCTTGTTCGCATACAGGTCCGGATGACAAAACTTCATGAGATCCGGATCCGCGTCGATGGCTCGTTTGGCCACCACCGGATCCTGTTGCGCCAGCCGGCCAGCTGAGCGGAAGGCCGTTGGATCCTGCGACATGGCCAGCTGCACCAGTCTCAGATCTCCTTGCAACGCCTTCGAGGCAAACTGCAGCGCCTTGGCGGACCTTTCCACCGCCATGTGCACCACCTCCCGGTCGGCCTTCAGTTCGGCGGAACCAAAGCGCAAGGCTTCTCCCTTGGTGTACCGGAGCATGGTCAGCAGCGTCTCGCGATCCGCAATGGGCTCCAGTTGACGATGGTCGCAGTGCACCATGCACACCTCCAACACCTCATCTTCCGTGATCTGCGCCCACGTTTGGCACTCCTCCAGCGGCTGCCCGTCCAGCACCAAGCGTTGGCGACGCCAATGGACCTTGAAGTCTTGGTGGATGGTGACCATGAGCTCCAAGACCAACGAGTCCTTCTCCACTTCGAGCTGGGCGAGTTCGGTATTTCCTGCTAGGCCCTTCAGGACCTTCACGCGTAAACGATCGCGCGCCTTCTCCATGGCGCCAGGTTTGTGGGCGCAGATCGGAGTCGGGAGCGGAGTCGGGGTCTGAGGTCTTTAGGAATGCGCAGCTGCGGCCAATGGTGGTACAGCTTATGGCCTTTTTGGAGCTCATGAGGCTGCAAAACGATCCAAACTCATGCAGCATACGATTTAGAAATATATAATGGAAGAATGAGCACTATAATCACCACTGTCGTAAGGATCCATCAATTGCTGTCACCAGATAAATAGGAACTCGCACAAGTCTTGCAAGTGGTCTACCCGTTCTGTCGCCTGAAACAGCAGGAAACAGCAAACTGGATTCATGGTCGTTTCACCACCCCAAAGGTTGCTCTTTCCCAGCTCCGGTCGGGGCTGCGCGTATACGGCCACCGCCGAGTTCGTCTCCCTGCGCTGCACGAGTTCGTCTGCCTGCACTCGGGGCCTGCACTCGGTGCTGAAGCGCTTCAGCTTCTCACACCTTGGCACCAAAAGACGTGGCTTTCGTCGTCTGTGGTGAAGAGAACCCGAGAACCCTAGACTTCCTGGCCCACCATGAACTTAAGAGGCGGGTCATCCCGAATCTACTAAGGAGTTTACACTACAAAAGCCAGGTCAACCATTTTTGAAGGGTCGAACGGAAGTCTAGGGAGAATGTTGTCTTCATCCACAAAAAGAAGCAGAACATTTCGTCTGGACCTCCGAAACATGAGATTCCTCCTGGCCAGTGGTCCTCAAATCAGCATGGCCATGGGCGGTGGATGGGAGCCCCCGTAGTCCAGAATGGAGACGCTACGACTGACGCGCGTGACCAGGTCAGAGCTGCCTCGGTGGGATAGGCGTCGGAGAGCAGCGATATCCTCGGCTGCCAATTGTCAAAACAAAGGATGACTCCATCGGAATTCTCTGGAAGATTCCAGTTGAACTCTGTCCTCATGAAAAAGGAATCCAGCATGGTCTGTCAGACTGTGACCGGGTTTTTCTTTGGAAGGGCCTGTCGCCATGACCATGACTTACAAAGTTAAGGCTCATCCAGGCCCAGCTGAGGGCCGTAGCTTGAATGATCAACTCAGTCGGGTGAGCGAATCAGTGTGGTGCGTGCCTTTGTCCGAGAGGCGCAAAAATTCGAGTTTGGACCCAACAGTCTAACTTTTTCATTTGTGTTCGATTTTATTGGGGTTCCTTTGGGATTCGCACCATAATTGTGGGAATACAAAATTCTCAAGTGACACTTCACTTAGTCTGGGTCCTTCGAAGTAAGAGGAAAGGCTTCCCAAATGTCTATCTGAAAGATTCTAAGTGTATAAGTCTAAGTCTATAGACATACCAAGTCTAGGCAACATATTTCATCCTGGCATAGCAACCTGTGAGGCTTTGAAGGATTTCTGGTTTGAGTGGGATCATGGGCCTTGGACTGAGGCTGAGGAGGTGCCTGGTCTTCTTCTCAGCCAAGGCTCTGGCTCAGGAGGTGTCACGAAGAACATCGCAGGCGTCATGAAAAAAGAATCCAGAAAGCAATCCTGGGATGGACGCCAAAGTTTGGGTCTATAAGTTGAAAAGGCAACTGCTCGGAGGCTTAATTAGGCCAGCAAAATGGACGTGTCTCACCAACAAGACCAACAAGTATGTCCCTTCGGAACTCCGTTCTCAAAAACCTTGCTTGCCATAGCTCTGCCACCTTGGCATGTGTTCAGCTTGTGGCCGTCGACATGCAGCCATACCTTCATCAGTCAGCTCCCAAAGCAGCGAGTCTATAGGGAGATTTCGACCCGCTGCGCTGCGGTGCGCTGCCCGTGGGTGTACCGCGGGCGTCGGGTCGTCGTTCGTGCGAAAACTGGGCAGGTTGGTGGCCAGGGATTGCGCCAGAGGGCCAGGTGATTGCGCCGAGCGTCGTCTTGAAGTCAAGAAGCTGAGAAGGATGCCAAGACCGTCGAACGCCAGAAATTAGCTGCAAAGCTCCGCCAGCATGGATGAAGGCAAGGTCAGCACAGGACATCACAGCATCACCCGACATCACACTCCGAGAATGTCAAATAGAAGGTTTTCTGATAATTTTTGGATATCAAAAGAAAAGGGGAGTCGGACTTGGGGGGAATATCTTCAACCATTCTGGACCATCCCGGACATGTTCTCCGACTTCTCGGATCCTCGGTCCTCTTCCCTCCCCGCTCTCAACAGCTCTGCACCACTCTCGCACGAAGCCAGTGCAGCAGCTCCCGCTCACGGCCCAGCGCTCCACGGCGCTCACGGGCACCGCTGTCTTGTGTAGCCAAATGGCCGGCTCCCACGCAGAAGACACATCCAAACAAGACCCCAGGGCTCCATGCCACCAAAAATCCGTTGGAAAGCGGTCTCAAGAAGCCATGGTCGTCGGGACACCCTGCAATCACCCTGTCTTACCCTGTCTTAGCGCTTACGAAGATTTTGTGCCCACCTGTGACAAAACCGGTTGAATGATTCTTGGATCGCAGCTATCACAATGGACTCGTAACTGCTCCTGATCTTCCAAAATCTGCTGATTCTCATCGACTCTCCAACTTCAAAAAAACATATTCCAACAGCTTAACACCCATTCCATTCCACCGCACCACTGCCCACCACCCAGTTTCCTCCGTGCCACGCCCCCGCAGGCCACGCCCCCGCACCGCCTTCTCTTCCAAAGCCTTCAATACCGCCACCGGCGTCGCGGCGTTCGGCCGTAGCGCCGCAGCCGCCAGGCACGTCCAGAGCTCCAGCGCCTGAACCCAGCGCTGGGCCGAGCCCACGGTCGACGCGGCACAGTTGACGGCCTCAGGCGCTGCGTGACCAGCGGCGTGACCGGCGGCTGAGGCGACCGGCGCTGTTTGGGTGAGAACAGCTGCGCCGGTATCGGGGTGAGGGTGAAACTGCTGAGAGATGAATGTTCGGTGAACCTGCAGATTTCACGGCGGGGTCCGGCGCCCAGCGCAGATTTTCTGAGAGATGACTTTTCGAGATGCGGGAGAGCGGGAGAGCGCGGGCGAAGGGAAGATGGTTCATTGTATTAAAACCTGAGAATGGGCTGTTGATCTTTCTTGCTGCATATGTAAATATTCATTAATATAGACAAAAGAAGGATTCACCCCACATGAGAAAAATCCCTGGCCCACCCTCACCACAGCACCCGCCGCGGCACCGCCACGTTCGCCTCCTCCGCGCCCAGCGCGCCCAGCGCGGAGCGCCAGCGGAGGGGCGGCAGCGCGCGCACGGCGCTGCTGACGCTGACGGCGCTGGGGCGAAGGCCGCGCGGGAGGAGCGATCGGAAGAGGTGTAGCGCCTTGGAAGGGGCGGGGGTTTTCCATGATTGAAAGGGTCCAAAAGGATCCAAGACTTCCCAAAACCAGGTTTTTGTATGGTAGATGGATGTAGATGGTGGGTGTTCTTCCATGAGAGAAAGGCGTCAGGACGCTCAGAGATCCAGAGTGATGAGGATGGGGTTAGTCTGTTTGAAGCCTTTCGGGTATCCTGAGACCTGACTTCAAAAGAAGAAACGCTCCAAGCATCTGACAATAAGAGAGAAACATATGAAGACAATATATTGAAAATATACCAACAGTTCCAAAGGGGTGCTTTATGGAGGAAGTCGGGGTGCCCAGAACATCCACTCACTGGATGGGACCAAACACCACCCCTCTGAGACTCTGTGACTCCTGGTGTATATAATTGTATATATACATATCGCAAAAGCCTCCTAAAGCCCACCCTGCTGCTCTATGCTCCCCAAACTGGGCACCTGCTCCCAGATGGGCTCACAGACCCCGATCGCTGCATTCACCATCACCACGTTCAGCTCCTCAGCTATCGGAGAGTAAGAGGTCTATTGGTCGCAGACTTGGGTCAGCTACGAAACCAAACTGAACTGACTCTGGCTCCAAGACTCCAAAGACATATAGAACAAGAAGCTACTAAGTAACAAGTGCATCGCTTCTAGTAACAAGTGCCTTACTAGTAGTAACAAGAAGCTTATTGTTTCTAATAGCTTCTTGTTTCTACTTAGTACGGCACTTGTTACTAGTAGCGATGCACTTGTTCCTAGTAGATTATTGTTTTCTACTCACAAACTGAACTGACTCTGGCTCCAAGACTCCTAAGACATAGCTATACATCCAAAACCCACCATGTTCAAAAGGGAAAATTAGATGATTGGACTTAAACCTGCTGATCCTTCGGTCTGACTTCTTGAGCTACAGTAACTTAAAATATCTTAAAATCATGGAAGGATATTGCCGGTTTAAGTGGGTGTGTATTACTTTTTTCGCAATCTTAGATCAATCTTGTTGAAGATCTAATTAATAGAACTTGCTATAAGAGCTGAAAACAAAAAAAACATGGCAGCCCCCTCCAACTTGCCAGCTCAGTCTCCACCTCTCTCCGCCGGCAGCCCTCCAGCAGCTCCGCCGCCATCGCCGCCCGCCACGCGCCGGACGCGGACGACGCGCCCGCAGTGCCCGCGGCGGCGAGGGCGGCGCCGTAGGTGATGGCCGTGGGGCGTGGTGTGGCGGCGAAGAGGTCGAGCGACCTTCTCGGTGGTCGCGGTCGGCGCGACCCGCCGGGTGGTGCTCGCTGTTTGACGGGTGACTGGGGTGCTAGGGAAGGAACTGGAAGGACTGAGGGGGAAGGGGGAAGGGAAGAGATTGACAGTGGCAGAAAAGCGAAATCGGAGGATTTTGAGACGAAGAAGTGAAGAAGGAGAGACGATTTGGTGTTTGGGGCTGGTGCTGGTTTCAAACAAGAAGCTCTTGGAGAGCGTTTCATGGGGGTCTAAAGTGGAGATTCAACAGTTTCTTTAAGAAGTAAGTGGTGGTTGGGTTTTTTGAGGTATAGTTGTTTACTACTCACTTCTTGCTTCAGCCGGTCCCAAGCCAAGCGGTCCATCAGTGGGAAGTTGGCCTCGCTGGAAGACGCCTCTCATTTGATCTTCAGCTTTTGGAGTCTCTTGAAGACACTCAAACATCCCTCTGGGAGGTGTTAAGCTTTTGGAGTCTCTTCAGCCTTTGGAGTCCGATCGCCAGACTTCCACAGCCAGCCCAGACTTTCGGCAAGGGCCGAAAGGACGCAGCCGACTGCAGCGGTCGAAGCGGCCGAAGGGGACGTCGCCACAGGACGAAACGAACGGAGCGACGACGATCGGCCGGACGCATCGCCACGAACCGAGCGATCGGACGCTACGACGAATGGGGCTCCTGGCCTTTTACTACTAGGAGCAAAGGACGCTACTGACTAGGAAGGAGCTTTCTTCTCACTGCTTCTTAACTCCTTTTTCTCCAAAGAATTGGAGGCTGAAGCATCCTCATTTTGGCAGAAAGCAAACGCTTTACCAGAACCTCAAATGGCTAAATGCGTTCTTTTTCCTGTTGAATTCCCTTGGCTCACGGCTCTCCCCCCACTTGGCACTCTCTTTCCTTCTCTCTTTCCTCTCCACTCTGCCTCTCCCACCGCTGTGCTCGCTGGCACGCCGTGATGGCCGCATTCACCGCCGCCACGTCCGCCGCCGCGGAGAGACGCGCCGCGGACCGCGCCACGGCGAGGGCGGCGCGCCAGGCGGCGCCCGTGGCACAGGCGCTGGCAGCAGTGCCTGAGGAAAGGGTGCGTGGGCAGAGCCCCAGAAAGAGTGAAATGGATGTTACACTACCCCAGTCCCGGCCATTTCCAAGGGGGAACCCCAATCCCAAAAATATCGCAATATGATGCAATATGTACCTATTCTTTCTGGTTGGGAGTGGGGTTCCAGGGGTGTTGAAAGTAGACTTGTGATCACTTGTGATCTCTGATGTCCTCATCAAAATAAGCGAACCATGATTCCCGCGAACAAACGTCGATTCCAGTTCGGAAGTATGTGGCGGGGATCATCATACTGACTGCTCTTTGGGGAGCCGGGAGCTTGATGTCCATGTCCTGAATCTGGGTTTCCCTGTTGAGATGTTCATTGGACGGGCGGCTATAGCTGATGATGCTCGGTTGGAATCGCTCCTGCAGCTCTTCGAACAAGTGCAGCGCCGTCGGCCACCTCGACGTGGACGGGCTGCAGGGTGTTGGGGAGTTGGGAGTTCGTTCGTCGCCTGAACCGGGGATTTCTGTGGATTGTCAGGGTGCTGTGATTTCTGGGCATTCCGCGAAGATGACTCTATATATTGGGGGGTAACTGGTAGATGTGGATCCGACCCTAAGGTCTCCCCTGCAGTAAGAAACTGTGGTTCGCAGGTCGCAAGGGGCCCTACTCAAGAAGCAAAGACTCCTGGACGGGTGCTGAGGAAGGACATCATCAAGAGTCCTCTTCACCGTGCTTTCAAAAGGGCATCCATTGGATGTGGCTCGATGGAGACAATGGATCATGGTATGTCAGAAAAGGAAATAGATTACAACCACCAGACCAAACACAAAAAACATGTTTTCTAAAATCTGCAAGCTATCAGAGGGCACAGCTCGCTCGCAGCAACGAACAGAAAAAGGAATCTCCTCTAAACTCATGCTCGTCAACGTACCTTCATCTCTCTCTCTCTCTCTCTCTGTTTGTGCAAGGATGGATCAAAACCTTTTGTCTGTTTTGATCCAGCGCACTCATTGTCTTATCCTCTATTCTTTGGATCAAAAAAGAACAACAAGAAAGGGCAGAACACCGACCGACTTAGCTTTTCTGCAGACAAACGAACTTCCACACTCACCCGTTCTTCCCCACCGAGCCGCTGTTGGCTCCGGTCGCAGCACTTCATCGCCGCGTTGTACACCGCCACGTCCAGGCGCGTTGTACGACTCCGCGCGGCGGAGCGGAGCAGCTGCAAGGCGTGGAGCCACTGGGTACCGCCTGAGACCGGCGTTCGCCCACGACGGAGGGAGGGGAGGGCGGAGGGCAACCCTCAGGTACGACGGAGGGCAGGGGCGAGTCCAAGGAGGTGACTCATCTCCCGTACCAAAAAGGATGATATGAGAGGAGGTAAGAGTACTTACCGATTATAGAGGTGTATGTCTGACATACCCGTGACATACCCGTGACTCCGTGACATAGCATTTTTCAAGGGGGTCCTTTGAGCCATTTCGAGAAGCACAACGACTCCCAGATGCCAACGTCTGAGGCTTCATGGGTAGGTCATGGAGCGGAGCGCAGCTCTCGACTCGAGGCTCGATGAAGTGCAGCCGAGCCACATCGACTGATTTTTTGAGTGTACTCCTTCGCAGAAGGAGTCGAAGCCACTTCCACCATCATGGCGCGGTCCACACGGTGCTACTCCGCCCGGGCTACTCGGCGGCATGGTGCGGTGTGTGCTCTGCGGCGCAGCCGGGCTGCTGGGTAGGAGCCCAAACCGCAGCGCCGGCGGCGGGTCGCTGGGCGAAGGATCAGGGGAAATCGCTCCACTGGAATTCGTGAGGGAATCCAAAGTCGTCCTTCAAGGTCTTCATTGGTTGAAGTGGACCTTCCAATCCGTTTTAGGTGCGTTGCCCGCGCGGCCGTCTTCGGCGTGTTCTTCGGCAGCTGTGCTGAAGATCCGTAAAATCCGGAGAAAGTGGCCATCTCATGCCGTCTCTACATAGGGCCACCCACTGTAGATCCATGAAAAGCTGGGAGGTGCAACAAAAGTGTACAGACTGAGATGAGATCGAATGAACAAAATCTCCACCTGAGAATTTCACTCGCGACCGATGTGGCTGAGGTAAACAGAACCGGAAAAAAGGTGTGAAAGCTCACGTGAACTCCAACGCCATTCCTTGCTGTGGCATTCCGAGTTGTCCACTGGGGCATTCCGAGCTTCTGGAATTCCATGGAGGTGTGAAGAAATCCACTTGTATTTAAAATTCCAGGGTCCAGGTAATTCCCTAAAGCTCCTATACCGCCTTGCTCCCTACCAGATGGCGTTTCATCGATGGCCTTCGCCACTGAAAAAAAAACCTCGCGTCCCTTCGGACCCCCGGCGCCCTTCGTCGCGCGACCCCGCTCCGATCGAACTACAACTGAACCAATCAAATCCCAATCAATTGCACCCTCCAACCACCCCGAAAGTCGAACATGGCCGTGGCCCATTTCAAAGACGAAGCAGGGTGTTGATATATGTTCCAACATTCGTCCCTAGGTCCCTGAAAATGCTCGTCGTCCATGTTTGGTGAAAACGCAGGCAATCGTCCCTGGCAAGGACCCGCACCACTGAGGTCCTGTGCAACCTCCTTCACCAAACGTTGGAAAGGCAACTTGCCTCAGCAGCCGCCCGATCCGCCGCCGCCGATCCGCGGCAGGAAGTGCTGGCGGGGCCAGTGGAGGCGAAAGGTTCGTACACTAGAAGACAAACAGTTATACTTATTGGAAACACAACCATTGCACATCAACCAAGTCTCGTACTTTTAGGATGCTTGTCTTCATCTCTCTCTCTCTCTCTCTGTTTTTTCTCTTTTTAGTTTTTGGAAACATGAAGCATCCTTTAAGGATTTAACGAAAGGAAAAGGTGTCGTTGCTGAAGTCGCTGAAGGTGCTCTTCTTGCAGGTGACAAACCAGAACCCCAGGCCCGGCTTCGTGGCCTCCAAGTGAAAGAAACGGCTTTTCCGAAGCTCATCACTTTGCAGCATCCCTCATGCTTTCTGTTCGCGCGCCCACCAGAACCGGTCGCCCTTCAAACCATTCCTTGTGCTCCACGCTCCCAACGGACCCGATCGGTTCGTTTTTTCGGCCCACGTTCGTCCGGCCCGTTCGTCTCGTCTCCCACGATCGCCCCTCGTCTCGGAGCCCGTCCGGGCGGCGGATGAGCAGATCGGTCGACTTCTGATACTTTCGGATCTCCCCTCGGTCGACTGGCGCGTCGATCGGGACGGCGCGTGGTGAGATTTGCCGCGGCAGTAGCGAGACACGAGGCGCAAAGGTTGGTTCTTTTTCTTTGCGGCGCCGGCCCTGGGGTTGGATGAGGTGGCTATAAGGCTAAAAAGGCACGGCTGTAAGGACCAACACCCATCACAGCTCATGTCCACAGTGGGGTTGGAGGACAAATCCTCTGTGTCCTTCTTGGCCAAGGGTACCATATCCACGCGCGAACGGGGTGCTTAAGGATGCCGAGAGAGGATAAAATCAAAGCTGCACAAGAGGTGCTTGGAGCAAGCAGGCCAAGAACTAGACTGGTCAAAGTACAAACATTCCTACTGCATATGGATCAGGTCCACCTCACTCTGAGGTTCTGGAGTGTAGAGTCCAGTGAGCCGTTGGGTAAGGGGCAGCTATAGTCGTCCTCAGGCATTTCTTCCAGGTCAGTAAGGAGAATACATGACTTTCTGATTCCTTTGATGGGGCGGCTGAAGGACAGCTCTTTCATCCGTAGGCATTCAGGACTGCACTCTTATAGCTCGTGAAGAACAGCTTCTCCAGGCCAAAAGGGCCGTGTGGGCCACTGCTTTGGATCAGCCAGTCACAGTTGGCTTCAACGGCTCGAGAAGAATGGCCCAAGTGTCTCCACGTTTCGGCAGCCGAAAAAGGAATCTTCCGAAAAAACCCGTGGTGTTTGAGGAGCTCTCAACAAGCTTTTTGGATAGCCTTGAGTCCCATAAATGGCGTCAGATCCAATATGCCGCTTCACCACCCGGGCGGCCCACCATGCTCCAATCCTTCCAACCCTGCTTCAACCACCCACAAATCCTGGACTGCTCCATCCATGCCGAGGCTCGAAGCGCCAAAGTGCCCGGGCGGAAGCGGTGGGTCTTCTTCATCGTCCCCACCAGCGGCGCCTGCGGAGCGCGCGAGTGCGCAGGGACCAGAGTGAGCTGCTGGTGCCATCGCGCACGGCATGCGCGTTCGAGCGTTCGCGGGTCGGGGGAATTGACACCGGAAAGCGGCAGCTTCTGCCCAAAAAAGCAACACATCCCCCGAGCGGCCCGGACAGCGCCGGAGGGTGAGGTGATTGAAAGCTTAAGCGAATATTAATGAATCATGAAGGACCTGTGTCGTGTGAACCTGTGCAATTATTCCAACTGTGGAGCGTTCTACCTCCAAGGAAAAAGCCAACAGCCCCGCTGTTGAAGCTTGTTCGACCCCTCATTGCTTGACCCCGCATCCTTCAGGCGCGTGCACACCAATTTCCGCAGAAAAAGAGTCTAGAGAAGTGTTCAACAAGCCTCTCTCAAGCCGCGGTGTCATCCAAACAAAAAAGGAGAACGGGTCATCCCATCTCCAATCACCCCCTAATTAATCCGATTCGTTTTAAAAAAGGATATATAAAAAGATCAACTCTCTCCCTCACCGCATCTTTACTCCCCCCCCCCTCCCCCACCTCCCCCCCCCCACTCCCTTCCCTCCCCCCCCCCCCCCCCTCTCGGACGGACCGGTTTTCCTTCGCTGTTTCCACCGTCCATCGCGCCTGTTTGCGTGAAGCCTTGGCCGCCAGGTCCTCGCGGCCTTTGTTCCCGCCGGACTTCCTCGGGAACAAGAGCGGAGCGGAGTCGGATCGTCCGAGCCGAGCGAGGTCGGTTCTGGACGACTTGGTTCGTTTGGAAAACGGGAAGAGAGACGCCAAGTATTTAAGGTGAATGACCCTGATCTACCTATGGGACCTATGGGACCTCACATCTTGAATGTAAAGAATCGGTATGTGAACCATAGGTCCAGGTAGAGATCTATATTTCAAGAGTTGAATCCTACCGTTTAAGTGTAAGGCCAGATTCTCAGGAACGAGGTTCCGGTATGTAGGTGTGAGGGCCGATGATCCTCTTATGTCCCAGAGTCCTGTAGTGATCCCACCTGGTCCACACGAGTTGCGATCCGTCAAACGCACCAGAAGTCCGTACGTGACGGGAGACCTCACATCTCACGATCATCTGCACGAATTGCCTATAGACATTTGTATGGGATGGTCATATTGACCCTCCACACAGCCCACCCACTATAGTATTTTATAGTATTCCACACAGTCAAGTTGACCCTCCACTATAGTATTCCACACACTTTCGCATGTGGCTTGAGACTTTCCGCCGTTTTTTCCTTCGCCGCTTCACGTCCTTTTCGACCGGCGACCGACCGGCGACCGACCGGCGTCGTCCCGCGTCTAACCCAAGGCGCTGAGCGGTCATCTTGGTTCGCGCCATGGCCTCCAGGACCAGAGACACACGAAAACGGGAGTTCTAGGGATCGGAACATGAGGCCATGCTAGCCTTTTGCTTCATGAGGCCTATGCAAGGCCATTAGCCTATAGATCCGCGATAATTAGGTCCAATGGCAAACAGTTTCTATAGCTCGAAGGTGTTAATTCAGGAGGCCTGGGCTTTTTGGTGGGGGAGCTCTTGACGCGCGTGGTGGTTTTCATCTCGACTCGGGAGCACCCAAAAGGCTTTGCGGCGAACCACCGTCTTCGAAGAGGTCCGATCCGTCAGACCCAGATCAGGCGGACTCCGTCCGGGTCCTCTCGTTGTTCCGAAGAGTTCATTCCATCAGTTCAGTTCCAATCAGTTCGTTCCATCAGTTCCATCAGTTGAGTTCAGTTCCAATCAGTTCAGGCCATCTTGGAAAAAAAAAAACACAAAGACTCTTTCCATCACGGTCCACCAGGCCATGATAGACTAAAGGACCACGGTGACCACGGGACCGGACCGACGCCACCGGGACGTACCACCGATAGAAAGGTCCACTCTCACCGGTGGTGCCAAAGCGAACAAACCGCGGTGGAAGCCGAGAAAGCATCGAGAAGAAGGAACAAAGCCAACACACATGAAAAGCACGATAGGAACACCTAATTAGAATGACCCAGCAGACCCCCTAAATCATCCACCCATTGGAATCCCCCTAGATCCTGGGTCTCCGTCTCCGATTCCCCCGGGCCTGGATCGCTATCCAGCTCTTCACAGCTCGGGGGGGGGCGTTCGTGGGCGAATCGGTGCTTTGGGCGGAGCCAAAGAGACGGCGAGATCGCCGTGCGGTGCGAGATCGCCGGCGACGGGAGCGTCGGAGCGTCGAGTCTCTTCCTCCGTTGGTGGTGGTTGAATGACTGGGATCTCGGGGCCCAAATCGCTTGAAAAGAAGGTAGGGAAGGATGATGGAATGCAGTTGGGTTGGATTGCAACCGTCGGAACAAGGTTTTCCAAGTCGTTCAACACCTTAAAAAAAAGAATTCCAGGAAGGAGAACTCCTGTTTGGACAAGTTGTGAGTTTGCAGTAGAACACGAGCGAACTCTCAAATTGTTTCAGAAGATAGTCCTGACTTTGAAGCTGATCACATGCTCTGGTTCTTGATATTGCTCGGTTGACCTGTGGAGATCGCCGCCATGGCCTCAGCATGCCGCTCACTATAGAGGAAGCCACACAATCCAAATGGAATGCTGGAAGTGCTTGGTGAACAGATGTTTTATGTGGCTTTGACAGCACCACTGTTCAATGTGCGTTCTTCAGTGACCCGAAGAAGCAACGCAGAGTGCCACCCGCAACAGCATGCGAAGACCATGTAAGAAAGCCCTCCCTAGCCTTCAAAAACCCTGTAAAATGGTTGATGTGGTTTTCAAGTATGAACCGTATTATACATTCCCCAGGTATATGATCTGATGATACAAAGAGACGATGGATTCCATCCCGCTATACGATTGTACATTCCATCCATTATAATACGTACCAGTACATTCCATCTTCCTCTCTGCCTCCCTCCCCACTTGTTTAACCCTTTGAAACCAAGCTCTGGTGCTCACCAAGGGGGCACAGCTGCCGTCCCCCTTCTTCACCTTCGACCGGTCTCTCTCCGCCGTCTCCGGGGGGTGTGTTCCGTCTCGTCTCCTAGATCACCTAGGCTGTTGCCCGAGAGGTTCAGCTCGGTGTACCTGGCGCCGTCGCCCGCGGCTCCGGACCCGGGCGGGGCGCGAGGTGAGGCCCCTGGTGATGGGAGGAAGAGAGGTGGTCAATGTGCTCAAAAGGGGTTTTGAGGGAACAACTGCATGAATCTGTCGGCCCGACAGATTCTCCATGTGGGCTTCACTGGAACTGGAACGGAGAAGGCTTCACTGGGAGCAGAAAAAACAAACCTCCAAGCAAACAAAGTTCACTTGCCGTTCTTGGGTGATGATTCTTGGTAGTTCAATTAATTGGCAGCAACTCACGTTATCGGAGTGAACCTCGATGTGTAAGTTCGATCAAATAAAACTCATGCCCTCGACACATGTCTTAGAAGGTGTGAAACTGTATGAAACTTTCTATTTCGGGGCCCTCTGTCTATGAGTGACCCACCCCCTCCAACCGAAAAAAGTAACTCCTCCCCTGGAACAAAACTCTTGGAAACCAAGAGGAAAGCTGATTCTTTGAAGGATCCCTTGAATTTCCATTGAACTCTTGAAGGTTCTGCCAAACTCTTGAACCAGCTTTGAATTGGATCACTCTTGCCAAGAACCTGCTTTAAGCCCTTCAGCTTAAGCCGGTCTCCGACGGACCGGTCTCCCACGCGTCTGGCGGTCCACGGAAATCCCAGCGAAGACCCAGGGAGTGACCTGAAAAAGGAACCTGTGATCTGAGTTGCCTAGGGTATAATCGAACTAGAGTCGAACTAGACTATATGGATCTATATGGTTCCTATGATTGAAGTTCCAGACTAGACCATAGTTAACAATACCTAACCCTGAGCTACCTAGAGTCCTTCAACCTCAGACGGAACCTCTCCGCCCCCCGCGGTACATTCGCACCGGCTCACGACCGTCCGGACCTGCCGGACCCGTTGCCTGGCACAAAAGGCCAAGGTGAAAGCCACGGCCTGTGCCCGGAGCGACTGGACCGACGGGCCCGGAGCGATGGAGTTTGGGTGGTGGTTTGTTCGTACATCCGTCTACACGGTCGTAGAAATGGCATCCAGAAATGTAACTCTTCTAAAAGAAAAAACACCTAAGAAACACCCTATGAGAGCAGAATCCAACATGTTTGTTATCTCTTATCTCCTCTTTTATATATATATATGTGTGCTGCAACACACTTGACGAAGATCGTGTTTTTGTCCAAAATCCATGTTGTGTTCACCAATATGTGCTGTCTTCCCAACTGAAATCGCGTCCGCCCAAGTCAAACTCCTTTCTCTTGTATGCAAAGGAGGTAAATGCGGCATCGTCATCATATATCTAATGATCTTGGAAAAGGAATCCGATGCAGAAACATCCACATCTCATGTTCCGCACCACGAAAACAACCACCACCCTGACAGAAGTCTCGCACAAACGGACAAAAAGAGAGAGACAAAAACGGGTGAGGCGTGCTGGTCGGAAGTCTCCCCAAAAAACGCCTCCCTACTCCAATCCACTCTAGTGGGTGGTTTGTACCAAACGGGGGTGGACACGAATTCTACCCGTGACTCTTCACGAGCCCGGTGGGCCTTGGCGAACTCAGCGCCCAAGTGGCTCTCGGGCAGGTTGAACCTGGGGGGGCCCGGGGCACATCGGGCGACATGGACCAAAAAAACGCCAGGGCATCGCTGAAGGGTTGGGATTGGGAAGAAACGACTCACCCATTTCGAGCTGGAAAGTGTTAAAGAGTGCATCGGCGCGGGGGGCTGGTATCAATGTGATGTCGCGGTTGCCCGATTGAACCAAATTAACACAGTTCTTCGTCAACTGGATCAAGTTGGTCGATTGGCTCCGTTTAAGCTTCTCTGGGAGGAGTTCGGCCCTTGACCTCACACACGCTCACGCTCACGCTCACGCTCACGCTCACACTCCCTCTCACTCACACACTCTCACACTCTCACACTCTCACACTCACACTCTCACTCTCCCACTCTCTCACTCACACTCTCACACTCACACTCACTCACTCACTCACTCACTCACTCACTCGCTCGCTCACTCACTCACCACCACCGCCACCATGACGACGATCTCCACCTGCATCACCACCATCACCTCTCTGGACCGCAATGCGTCTTGATACCTAGACTTTCTGCTTCTACACCTGTAGACCTACAAGAAGGACATGGAAAACCATTCAGAGGTGCTGAAATACCATCATCATGTTTCTGACCGTTGAAGATGTAAGGCTCCCACTGATGGCCAGGATCAAGGATCAAGGACATCCAGGTCACTTGATGTGAAACAGCAGCTGAGCGGTCAAGTTGGAAGTAATTACATTGTGAGGTGAGGTATGCGTTCAAAATTGACTGCCACCGAGAACACCAATTGCTCAACGCAGTTTAATCAAAAGAGTGAAGAAATGAAAATGCACAATTCAAGGCTCGAGCCCTCAAGGAGCAGCCAAGTTTTGAAGGTGGAAAGGTGCCTGGCATGTCTCAAAGACCTTCAGAACACTGAAATAAGTCTATCGCAACGAAAAGAAGTATGAGATCCGCCCAGCTCAGAACAAGTATGTTGGTTTGAAGATCCCGATGTTGGTGGGTTGGCACCGGTACAAGTGCCAGCGTTTGATAACCCTCCTTCATGCAGTGACCCAGTTCGAGTCCATTGAGAAACGCCTGACCGCACTGGGTGTGGAGAAAGTTCTCCCAGGGTCAAACATGAAGGATGCCTTGGAATCTTTGCAGCAAGGAATCAATATACTGTTATGATTTGTTCTAGTCCCATTTGTTTCCTCAAGGTGGACCGCCAACATGCCAGACTGGTGGACCAAATCCTGGTACTGTGGGTGCACCTTTCGGCGCTATCCTCTATTGCTAGGGGCCCTATTTAAAGACTATGTTCCCTTGCCAGACCCCCAGCTCCCCTAATCTTAGTCCAACTGTGGTGGGAACCCCCAGAATGGATGTCCCTGGTAGAACATGTGTAGACTGCAAAATTATTTCCAAAGCGACATGGGGTCACAAATGGGCATAATACTTCGAAGCTGGATTTTGGTTGAATACGCAGTTTTAACATAAGGGATGATCAGGGATGCAGACGTTTCAGCAGAGCTGCAAGGTCGTGAAATTATTGTTTCAGGAGTTCCCACTACATTCCACCCCCGACCTATCCTTCCCAATTATCTTGGCCAATGGGAGGATTGGCAAAAATGCTGGAAGCTTTGGAGACTGTCGAGAAACCCACTCAGGATAAACTTGGGCAAGCCACGGTAAATCTGACAAATGCGCCACGCTTCAGGCAGTGGAGCGGATTTTTCTGGATCTATTACTGCGTGGTAT